CCAAAGCCATTAGCTTACAGTAAGAAGGGGAAAAACCAGACCAAAGCCATTAGCTTACAGTAAGAATGGGAAAACCCAGACCAAAGCCATTAGCTTACAACTTACAGTAAGAAGGGGAAAAACCAGACCAAAGCCATTAGCTTACAGTAAGAAGGGGAAAACCCAGACCAAAGCCATTAGCTTACAGTAAGAAGGGAAAACCCAGACCAAAGCCATTAGCTTACAGTAAGAAGGGAAAACCCAGACCAAAGCCATTAGCTAACAGTAAGAATGGGAAAACCCAGACCAAAGCCATTAGCTTACAGTGAAAAGGGGAAAAGCCTGACCAAAGCCATTAGCCCTTCAGAAAATGTTAAATTCATAAGCCCCCAACACGCAGACAGCACTTGTTAAAACTTTTTAAATCAACTGGATGACCGTTCCCCTGTCTAAGAGACAAGAAGCCCCTTGTCCAGTACAGGAGAAGGTGTGTTTAGTGTAAGTTAGGTGGATCCTGGCTATCAGATTGTATACATACTTCTTAGCGTCTTAACAGATAGTCCTGACATAAAGTATAGTGTGGGACAAAAATATCAAATCACGTGACTACCGTTTACACCATGAAACATTTTCTTTTTAAAATTCTAGGCCTTCGCTACAAAAGGGGAACGGCGTGGTAGAGTGTACGGTTGCTAACCCGGAAGTCTCGAGTTCGAATCCCGGGCTAGGGCTCGTCCGGCGTCCCAGAGTCCACCCAGCTCTTATGGGTACCGGACTGGGGAAAGTAAAGGCGGCTGGGCATAGTGCTGGCCACACTATCCCTACATATGTCAAGGTCGTGGAAACAGGTAACTCTACTTCATCTGCCCAGAGGCGTAGCGACCCTTCCCGGCGCCCGGGGACAAACTTTCAATTTGGCGCCCCGCTCGGGATCAACCTATCAATTTGCCTCCCCCCCCTCGAACTTTCGATTTGCACCCCCTCAAACTTTCGATTTGCCCCCCCCCTATATTTGTGTTATATTTATAAAGCAAAAAAGCAGCTAAAATAATATTTTAATTTGTTTTTCCAACCCATTTTGGCGCCCCCTAAGGTCGGCGCCCGGGGACATATGTACCCCCTGCCCCCCCCCCTTCGCTACGCCTCTGCATCTGCCGGACCTGTATAGTTCATACAGCTTGAAGTTGCCATTACGTGCAACCCCAAACCTGACTTAACTTACCACTGGCCTATAATTTCTTCTACACCGAAACGATGTGGGTACGGCTAACCGCTAATGACAACATTGTTGCATAATTTCGCACTTAAAGCCTTTGCCTGTTGGTTTTTTAGACCCCCCCCCCCCTCCCACAATTATCCACTTTAACAAAAGCATTATAGTTATACTTAACCAACACCCACAACCTCTGCTTTAAAAAAAAATTAGCCATAACTGTCGAGGCTACTTTAGACACACGTGTACACACAGCCCAAGGCATGCGTGTTTGAAGTGAACGCATCGAGGTTATGATTTCCGCTGCCGCGTGTTCAAGTGATGTTGCCTTCGACGTGAAACACATGTCGTAAAAACAACAAAGCGCCGCCATATGCCTGAATTGTAATCTCCCCTGCAGGGGAGAGAAGCGAGGTTTCGTGTACTTAGTGGAGGCACGAGTGAGATGATAGATAAAGGTTAGGACGAGGGTAAAATAAAACATGCCCTGCTGTCTATTTTTAGCCAACAAAGAGGGAAACATCTGGTGTATAAGGAAATAAAGGACAACAACGTAAACAAACTAAGCCTAGTCTGGTGTAATGTGCCGGTATTTTAAAAAGTTGTGTGGACAGCTGAAACAAAACAGAAAGTGACATTCAAGCAGGCGAGCATGAAGGAGCTCGCTGAAGCGTGACATAAAAACAAAAGTAAATTGATGATACAATTCGGCACAGTGTAGACAGACACGCTGTGACTTAATTTGTGCCACTCTGGATGATTGAATGTTGTTTGTTGTTAAAGTGTGTACCTTTTTTTTCATCTTTCGTTTCGTAGAAACATTTCACTGTGATAACTTTTGTTTTTTCATAAGGAAGACGATTGGACCATTACTCTCAAGAATAGCTTTCTGTAACGATGAGACTATTTCACTGTGTTTGTATTTATATCTCGTTAAGTTTCCCATTTCACTATAGTCCATTGCTTTATGTCTTCATTTCTTTGTAGGTCTTCATTTCTTTAAAGGCCTCCGTTTCTCTGTATCCATAGTTCTAAAGTTTTCCATTTTTTTTCGTCTCCATTTCTTTAAAAATCCCATTTTCTCCATAGGACCCCATTTCTCCAAAAACCTCTTTTTTATAGGCATTTCTCCATTTCCAAAGCCCCATTTATAAAACACATTTCTTTTTGTCATTTCTCCCCCCCCCCCCCTCTCTCTCATATATATATATATATATATATATATATATATATATATATATATATATATATATATATATATATATATCTTCCAATGTCCCCATTTCTTTAAAGGTCCCCATAGGTCCATAGTGCACAACCTTACTGTATCCATTCCTCCTTTTGTCTCAGACGATAGAACCATTTCACTATAGGAAATAAAAATGTCGCACTTTTCTAAATGTCGCACTTTTCTAAATGTCGCACTTTTCTAAATGTCGCACTTTTCTAAATGTCGCACTTTTCTAAATGTCGCACTTTTCTAAATGTCGCACTTTTCTAAATGTCGCACTTTTCTAAATGTCGCACTTTTCTAAATGTCGCACTTTTCTAAATGTCGCACTTTTCTAAATGTCGCACTTTTCTAAATGTCGCACTTCTCTAATGTCGCACTGATATGCTGTTGCTACTAGGTTGTGACGACATGACCTTGATGACTAGCATATAGAATGTAGCTAAGACACAACAACGTTTACAGTCAAGTGCAATGTAAGCAAACTTATGTGGTACATAAAAACTAAACTGAGTGTGTTCGTGTGTACAGACGAAGTGTGTTCGTGTCAACAGATGAAGTGTGTTCGTAAACAGACGAAGTGTGTTGGTAAACAGACGAAGTGTGGGTTTAAATAAATGTTTGAGTGTGTGTATACATAGATATATGTGTGTGTGTAAATCGGATAACATTTTAAGAAGGTAGGGTGGTAGTGCCTTAAAATAATGTCGACCAAATAGAATCAAAGTGTTTAAATCCACCTGACACACAACTAATTGATGCAAAGTTGTGCCCTTAACCACACAGAGGATCTCACACTCCTAGTTTAGTGCATCTTTTATGTAATAGGCCCACTTGATGTCACTCTTCTAAGGTGAGGGGGGGGGGGGGAGGGGGGGGGGGGGGCGGCGACCAGAGCATGTAAATCAGTGTTTCTTCCAGACTTTTTCTCCGGGTAAGGGCAATGAAATTATCGGGGGAACGGACTAAAATTTTCGTGGCGGGGATTCACTGTTAAAAGTATATATTTGCTATATAAATTCCATTTCGCTCGGGGGGGGGGGGGGGGCTCTGCCTCCTCTCCCCCTCCCCGAAGAGATGCCTGGAAGAAACTCTGATGTAAATGCAAAGTGACCAAACACGTGATCATCTTGGAAAGATTTAGGTTTTGTGTGAGGGTAGGGTGGTTCTAAACTTTAAGACGTCATATAGGAAAAAAAAAGGGGGGGGGGGGGGTCTGACTTTGTTGTGACAGCAGGGACTAAAGGATAAAAATCAGCTTAAACGTGTGACGTCAAATTACACCAAAGGATAAAAATCAGCTTAAAAGTGTGACGTCAATTACCACCACCAACCGACAAAACATCTGGGAAACAACACAAGTATAAGAGGCTTAAAGTCTTTGTGACAGCCCATCAAGTTGAAAGCTGTATTTCAACTTTGCACCGTGACTTGCAGAAATCCAACGACAACGCACACTGCTATGAGAATATTAGATTTTCAACAGCGGTTTACAAACATGCTGTCACCCTAGGTTACTTCCTTAAAAAAAACAAAACAAATTTATCCATCTTTTTATAGGATTTAGTAAATCTATAACAGGTCCATAACTTTTTTTGTGTAGGCCTAAGCTTCAATGAGGGAACTGCTATGGTAAAAAAAAACAACACTAAAACCACGAAAGGAAAACAAAAACATCCAACGATGAGAAAATTGTAATTATAAATTATTTAGCTAAATTTCCTGTTATTTTTAAACAATGTCCGGAAAAAAACGTAATTTATATTATATAACAATATATATGCACTTATGTAGGCTTTAGTTGTTCAATTTTTAAAAATTAGTTTTAGCCTAACTTGTAGGCCTATATTTCTGTGTGAACCTTTCCGCGCCTTCCCCATCATTAACCCGCCATCTGCCGTAGGCCTGTTATTATTGGTTAAAAATAGGCCTAGTAATAATATGCATGAATAGTCCCATCCTATCAAACACGTTAGGCCTATAACCCAACATGAATAGCTCCAGTCGAGCTGGTTTGATCGACCCATGTCTTGTGTAAATACTAAATGATGACATAAGAGAATAACAAAATTAGACCTACAGTTCATAGTTACACTTCTTAGGTAACAGTCAAGGTTTTATATAGGGGAAGTAATCAAGAAAATATTCAATCTACATAGAATTTCACAATTACCGTTCATTTCTTATTAATGTATACATCAATTCTTATTCAACACTTTCAATACTTACTGAGAAAATACGTTATTCTACAACCTTTAACATTACTTAAAACTTTTTTCACTAAAAATAGGCGTGTGATTTTATTAACGAATGCTGAATTTATTAAAAAAAAATAGATTGAGCTAATCTCTGAGAGGACACATGTAGAAATCATTTAGACTGGAAATAGTAAAAAAAAATGTCTTATTCTCTACGAAAATGTAGTAGCTTCATATTGCTGTTTCATTGTATCTCAAAATAAATCAAACCAACCCTAGCACTGTTGTTAAAGGTAACCTACTGTACATCCACCCTCCTGGTTTTATAAAATTTCTATTAAAATCCCCATTTCCCCCCCCCCCCCCCCCCTCTCCACAGGTTCTGCAACATTCCCAGGACTGAGGAAGTTTATAGCAGAGAGTAGCAAGACCAGAGTTCTGAGTTTCCTTCACATAGCTCAACATGGTCTCGCCTCAGCTGGGTGTGTTATGAAAGGTGAAAAACTATACAACTCATCAACATGATTTTAGACAGTAGAACGATAAACATAAACAGTAACATGATTTTATACAGTAGAATGATAAACATAAACAGTAACATGATTTTATACAGTAAAACAATAAACATAAACAATAACATGATTTTATACAGTAGAATGATAAACATAAACAGTAACATGATTTTATACAGTAAAACAAACATAAACAATAACATGATTTTATACAGTAAAACAATAAACATAAACAATAACATGATTTTATACAGTAAAACAATAAACATAAACAATAACATGATTTTATACAGTAAAACAATAAACATAAACAATAACATCAATGCATTAAGCAAAGCATCATAGACATCATGAATTTATTAATAAAAAATAGAAACATGGATTATTACAGCATAACATCATTGATTCATACAACAATATACACAAACATGAAAACTATTAGGCCTACATTGTTTGTACAAAACATTAAACTTGCTTATTAAATTAGTAATCGTTTATTGTCTTCATCTTATCTAATCTAATCTAGAACTAAATAATTAGTTTTGGGGCTGAAAGTATTTCAAAGCTTGCCATTGACCTTTAGAAGCTGGACTGTTAACCCCAATTTTAGACTCTGGACATGAGGCTCGTTAGCTGTGGACAGCAACCCATCCAAAATCAAACAACTGCTGCCTTGTAGTTTGTTCTTGGATGAATAAACACTATAGGAGCAAAACTAGAAAAAATAGTCAAAGTCAATGGCCGCCCATAACAAGTTGACATGCAATACTTAATTATGCTGGAGAAAATCCCCTTCACCAGTAAGATTAAGAATGAAGAAGAGAACTGAACAGTATTTTTTTGCAATGCTGTATCTATTTCCTTAAAACTGACTTTAAAAAACAAATATATCTGTTATTTCAGATGCTGGAGGTGAATGTGACTCACTGAATGTGCTGAGGGTTGATGAATGTACCAAAGCTATCAATGACAACAGGGATATGATAGTGGGAGTCAAACTCAGACTTGCTGTACCTATATCTGATAATGGAAAAAATGAAGAGGAGGCATACAGGTACAGTGGTTGATATTGTTATAAGTATGGTCATGATGATTTTCTTTTAACTATTTCATTGGTCTGAATTGACAAGAAAAACTATACTTTCTCATGTTGTCAGGTACTCAGTAAAGCTGAGTGGACTCAGTAATAAACTATTACTTCATATCAATAGGATTTAAAATCAAGACAACTGTAAGCATTCTTCAGCTTAACTAACTTAGCAAATATTTCTAATGTTAAACTTTTTTGAGAAGTATATAATTGAAAATTTATTGTTATTAAATTTAACGTACAGTCATTATATATCAATTAATGGGTTGTAATTTGATTTGTACATGTTGAACAGTACAGCTGTGTTTACCTAATACTGGATTATCTAGTAGTTTAGAGTCTTTCATTAAAACTAATATTTTTCAAAAAGATAAAAAAAAAATAGAGCCCTGTACTAAAGCAGCTTTTCTATTTAAAATAATTCACCAATCAACCCCTGCTTATTTATCTGACCTATTACAATACAAACTAAATGTTCTTCTTAGTTTATCATATAACTTTTTTCCAGACATAGCTTTGCTAACTCTGGTGCTAATTTATGGAATTAGCTTCCTAATACAATAAAACAAACTGTTATTAAAAAAAAAATAAAAAACAACAAAAACTAAAAAACAACAATCTCAAAACCTCCTAAAGTGAGTTTCTTATTTATCTCATTCTATTTCTGAATATCTTTTATGTAAATATTATGTCTTTATTCCACATTTTAAATGCATGTTTTATTATCTTTAATATGTGATCAACATGTTTGTTAATTACAGCCACAGAGCCTATTATTAAAAATGAAGTTTTATTATGAGTTATTATAATTATTAATACTCAAGTCAGGTTAGAACTGTTTTGTAAAATATTAATAAGACTCAAAAAATGTTTTTATATCAATGATATGATGCACAGTTAGATTAAACCATGTTTTATATAAATGCTATGATGCAGGGTTAGATTAAACCATGTTTTATATCAATGACATGATGCAGGGTTATATTAAACCATGTTTTATATCAATGACATGATGCAGGGTTATATTAAACCATGTTTTATATCAATGACATGATGCAGGGTTAGATTAAACCAGAGCTGTTTTCTTTTGTAGGAGAGCTCTGCAAGCTGCCAAAACATGCAAAGTTCCTCTGATGGTCCACCATGCTATTTCATCTATTGGTCATGGTCCTTCCACTGCTGGTATCACAATTTTCATTGGTCCTATTCATTTAAACTTTAGTAAAAAATTTAAAATTGAGTTATTTACTTCACATGGAGTTATGCACATCAAAGTTGACTTTTGTCACCTTTTATCCCTAGGTGAGTTAACTTGTCCAGGTGATTTAGGTCAAGGTGACATCTACACACACTGTTTCCATGGTCACCAGAGCTCTATTCTTAATGAAGCCACCGGTGAAATAGATCCTTCCTGCATAGAGGCCAAAAAACGTGGGGTGTTATTTGATGTTGGTCACGGTCAAGGTATGTTACTTCTACAAGTACTGGCTTGAAATTATTCATGGGGGACGGATTTTTTATTTTTACTATTATTTATTATCAGCTTACATGCATGTTTAGGGGAAGGAGTGGTATAGCGGTAGAGAGCTGGATTGCTAACCCGTAAGTCTCGAGTTCGAATCTGGCTTCAAGTCAGTAGACCATCCCCGAGTCCAACCAACTCTGATGGGTACCTAACACTCCTGGCGGCTGGGCATAGTGCTGACCACACTATCTCTTCATATGCAAAGGTCACAGAAACAAGTGAACTCTACTTCACTTGCCCCATAGACCGTCAGGTTTGAAAGGGAAACGTTTACTTTACTTTACATGCATGTTTGTAGTGTTTCTGAGGTGGTCTAGCTACCCATGAGAGTATAAAACAGCATTTCCCAGATTAGGCATTTCTTGGAATCCCCAAGAAAGGACGTTGTAAATGGCATATGCTCCACTTGGAGTTGAAAAAGATGAAGAAGAAAACTTATAAATATGTATTTATAATTAACTATATACCTGTTTGTTTTCTAATGTTTTTCACTGATTGTTCCAAGAATCATCGATTACTATCATGAATACAACTAGAAAATCATTATAAAAATTAATTACTTCTTTTATTCAGGGTCCTTTAGCTGGAGTGTAGCAGAAAAATGTGTTGCTAAAAATTTCTTGCCCGACACAATCAGTACGGATCTTCACACAGGCAGCATGTACGGCCCAGCGTATGACCTGCCGTGTGTCATGACCAAAATGTTGCATGCTGGGATGGCATTGGAAGATGTCATTGCTGCAGTGACATCAACACCTGCAAGGGCTGTTGGTGAGGTTTAGTTTTACTTCTGGTTGTGGGTATAGTTTTATTTTAACTACAGGATGTCTCTTATCTTTTCTCTCTCTTCAGACTTTGAAAAATATTTAAGAATCCAGATTTGCAAGGTTCAATTTTCTGATATGACATTATGAAAGGGTTAACTATTTCAAATGAAATAAATTTTATAACATATAATAATATAAATGGTTACCTTTCATTACATCGCTAACGGAGTTAATAGACTAAACTGTGCCAATGAATTTTATTCACCTATTCATTCTACAGATCATATTTTAAAAAAAAAATCCTTTATTAATTGATCTTCAATTCATTTTTTGTTGTCATTTTTATTGTGCCAGAATATTTTCTTCAGACTCAGTTCTTCCAAACAAATCCTTCTTTGGGGGATAACATGATTATTTACTGAATGCTACTAAATCTTATTGATGTGGGCATGGGTTAATTGTGACAGTCACAATTTAAACATTGATTGTAAAACATTTTAGATTATTGCCCTTTATTAAATGTACTTTGAATAAAAATCTGTTAGGTTTTCTTGTTGAGTGTGGGATGCCAGTCAGTGTCAGGTAACCTAAAACAGAACATTATAAAGTAAAAGATGATATTTTGCAGGGAAACAGCATGAGATTGGCCAGCTAGGAGAAGGTTTTACTGCTGACATTACCATCCTAAAGCTGGAAGATGTGGTAGAGAATCTAGAAGACTGCGCAGGGGAAGTAAGAACAATCACCAAAGCGTTTAAGCCTGTAGCTGTCTATGTGGGTGGTGAGGAGTATCCAGTAGTGGCTGAGAGGTCATGGCCAAATCTGACCAGCCAACAGGTGTGCCAAGCTCGTATGGAGCAGATGAGAGCAGAGGATGTATTGGTTAAATGACAACCTGTCACTGGCTGCCAATCTGTTTACGTCACAATTCCATGTGCCATTTGTTGTGTTTTATTTATGAGAACCTTTTTAATATATAATCTTACCTCATACTTGATTTACACCTAGAAAACCTTTATTTTGTTAGAATGAAATTTTAATGATCAAGATAAATCTTATTTTATAAGAAAAATAGTAAAAACTTTACATGAACACATTCCCAAATAGTTTTTATAGTTATTTTCAAGTTACTACTATGTATGATTATACATGTTATGCACAATAAATCACTATTCAATTAAATAATAATAAAGGACACAAAAGATTTATTTGTAAAGTTTATTTTAAATCTGTGTTAATTTAAGCATAGAATTTTTTCCCCTTAACCACATAAAGAAATGATTAAAAAAGTGGAATGTAGAAATCTGTAAATGACTTCTGAAAGATAAAACGTGCATGTTTTATGAAAAAATAATTTGTTTTGAACCAATAAATGCAGCTGCCAAGATAGGGTTACAAAATGGCTGTTAAAATTCTGAAAACAACCAAAAAAACAAAACAACCTTATTCTTTTCTTCAGACCCATGGCTAGTTTAGTTTTACAACTTTTTTTAGATACAGAAAAGGGACATAAACAAGTAAACAACCTTTCCCAAAAGTTAATAATAAACTTTTCTGTGGATCAATATTTCTTGGTTATTTCTATATTTAAAAAGGCGTTTTTTAAAATAACAAATGGATTGTTCACTAACCTTAAACATAACAGATTTGTTATATTCGTATGCTTTCAAACAATACAAATACTTTTGGTAATGAGCAGTATCACATTCTAGTAAAGCTTAAATATCACCCTCACATTAGGATTGCATAGCAATAAAAAATATATCTCTTATACAGTAATATTTAAATCAGATCTAAAATTACATTCACAACATTTATTCAATTCTCAACACAATAATAAAGTTTGAAGCCATAAAACAGTCTTTTATACTGTAGTAAAATAATGCATTTAGTGAAGTTATTGCTAAGCAATTAAAAAAGAAATCACCCCCATGCATATAACACCATATTATTTGAGCAATTTTCTTGACGTAAGTGTTAAGAAACAGATTTTGACCCCAAAGTAATATACTAAGTGGACATCTGATCTTTGTATACAGGCAATAATTTCAACTATGAACACTACATTTATTAAAGATAAAATTTGTAAATAAAAAATTTTCATTGCCATATAGTAAATAGCTTTCTGGTGTGTTAACATGCAATGAAAACAGTAAGAAATAAAACAGGAATGATGTAGAACCAACACATATCTTTCATGTGAGAACCAGATTTGGAGGTTTTAAAACATTTTCTGTCACTGTTCCTCGCAAGCACCAGACCTTAACTTTTGCATGACTTCTCCCAGCATCTGGTTGCAAAGCGCTGCATACGGGTTCATGGAGGCCAACAGCTGCTTAGCAAAGCCACTGCCCAAGTCTGCGGCTCTCTTAAAATCATGTCTGGCACCTTCGTCATCACCTGGATAAAAAAAACCACCAAACATACAGTTCAGGTTCGAACAGTGATGTAATGAATCATTGTATTGGATATTTCTTACATACTGTTTTGGTCACACAACCCTTTACTATGCAAGGGCCATTGATGAAAAGGGGATCGATAGATAAATAAATAGTTATCACGATCCCAGTTAGATATAATAAATCACCAGGTTTTCTTGAAAATCCTAGCAAGACACTAACTTCATCAGGGCCACAATCTAACACTGAGCTTTTGTTATTATATTGTGCTGCAGTTTTTAAACCAGCCTCACCTTCTTTCTTTCTGATGAGTCCCCTTTGTGTAAATGCCTGGCAAGCTGGGGTTCCTTTCTCTGAACTCAGTTCCAAAGCTTTTTCCAAATCTGCTTTTGCCCCTTGAATAAAAATAAATACATTAGTACTAAACACATCCCACAATCTAAAAAAAACATAATTCTGTGAGTGTAGTCATTAAAATCTGTTTACTTATTTCTTATATTTATGTTAATTCCTTAAAGTGAACTTCTTGAAAAATTAATAACAGACTGAAAAATAAAAATTAGGAAGATTAACTCAATTAAAAAAAAAAAAATAACAACCCAACCATGATGGACAAAAGCTTCAAAATGTATAAACTCTTCAACACTGTCACCCAGTTACCTTCAATGTCTCCTTTCAACCTTAAGGCCTGAGCTCTGTTGTTGTAAGCAGAAGGCCAATTTGGTGCCACATTTACAGCTTCTGTAAATATGGCCAGAGCTGCATCAACATCACCAGCTTCAGCAGCTTTCACTCCTTGTATTTCTAGGGCTTTAGCTTTCTTTACTTCCTCTGAGTCATCACATGATTCTAATAAAATAAAACAGTAGGCTAGTTCTTATTTTATATTTAAGGAAATTACATAGCCCTATCTCTATTATTATAGGCTATAGAATATTTTGAATTATAATGTCTAGAGACTAGTCTAGTGTTTAATGTTTTGTTTATATTCAATCTAAATTAGAATGGTTATTAATTAACGTAAAATCAACTGAAGCTATTAAAAAGGCGACTAATGTAGTAATTACTGATTAGTAATTTAAAATTAGGGCCTTAAGACTTAATGTTAGTAGGCTAATTTAGTAATTACTAGGCCCTAATTATAATTAAAATTTAAAAGTAATTAATAATTATTTCAAAATTTTTCGAGAATTTATGTTTTAATTTATATACATTTTTTATAGGTTACAAAAATGTTGATAGATGTAGATTGTAGATCTAGAATCTACTAAATCTAGTGTAAGTGTAGGAGTGTAGTGATCATAATTATCATAATACTAATAAATTAATAGATTCTAGAATCTAGCTAGAGAGGTAGGTGTGGACCGTGGTGTAGGCAGGCCAACCTGTTTGTTTTTAAACCATTTTTATCAATAGCTTTCACTCTATATTAAATTAGATTCCCCCGACTATATTTTACCACCTTCTTTTAGTTCATCTTCTTCGATGTCGTCGCCATACGGTAATCCAGGATTAAATATCTGCTTAAGAATTTGCTTATCGTGATCAGTAATTTTGACACTTTCAGCGCTGGAGGCTGCCATGTTTACATCACGTGATTAGGAAACTAGAATAAATCTGGTTCGAACAAATACGTTTTTCAAAAATACTAATTATTAATTAATATATAGGCCTAGATCTAATCTTATATGTGTATTATAATTTTATAATTTAAGAATGCTTTGAAATAAACTGAAAATCCGTCTAGTTTAGGGTAATAATAGTATAATTAATAAAAAGCAACAATTGAAAATTTTAGAAAATCCTACCCTGCCTTAAGACATTATCCAAAAATGACATGACGCTTTTTACCTCCCGACCCCCCCCTTAAAATGACGTCACACCTAAGCCTACAACCCCCCCCCCCCCCCCAATGCAGATACATTTTTTGTAAACATCGATTTTTTTTTTCCCCTAGAATATTGACTGAGCTCCTTCAACATAGTGTTAGATGACCGAGCTCAATAATAATACAAATCACCACTTAATTTTCAAACCAATTATTGTTAATAAGATTTAAATGAACACACTCTTCACAAACAGCTTCATCAACTAGATGCCTATTGCCTGGCCAACCTGCTTGCAGTGGGTCTATATTCATTCCACATCAGGATGATCTCTCCCTCAGTAGCATCAGTTCTAGCCTTGTTATAACCTTTCACCTGCTTATCTAACTGATCAAGTGATAGTTACAACCTCCACATAATCTGTAGGCCTATTTATTTAAAATTGAAAAGACTTTTGGGTTATCAGTGGGGATATATTTATAAATATCAGCCAAGTTGGAAAGAAATGGCTTATTTGGGAATAGGTCATAATTGAATTACAAGATTTAACTTGAAACAAACTCAACCACTGACAGCATGATGCTTGTAAAAGGTAAGAAAAAAGTAAGAAACTCTAATACAAGTAGGTGTACTATAGAAGAGCTGTTAACACTTACATTCACTGTGGTTATAATAGGCTAGTTGAGTGGTGGATGCTGCTTGTTGAGGGGGGGGGGGGGGGGAGGGGGTGGAAAGGGGAGGCAGATATTTAAGCAGCAGCTGTTTTGTGAGTATATGGGGTTGGGGGGGGGGGGGGGCATTGTGTTTTAGAGGTAGTTGCTTGGTGTGTGGTGATAGTTGACATTTATTTTAGACAAAAACGTTCAAATCAAATGAAAATTTATTTCAAAATAAAGTTATGAATTTATAAAATCCTAATAAAAGTAAAGTCAAGAAAAAAAATACAATTGCACATGTTTACAATAAGACTACTGCACCACAGTAAACAACTATGGATGTAAAAAAAAACATTTTGTTCACAGAGTTTGTATAAAAACAATGACTTTTTATTTTAAATTATTTAAATGCATTTCTAAAAAAAGAGAAATTACTTCTCTAATATAAATCATAAATATTATGCTAATTTATACCTGAAATTTGATTGAAAAACTTGGGTCATTTATTTAACTCAAAGCAAATGTTATTGAAAACTTAGGAATAACAGTTATTAAAATTATAATTTATTACAATGTAAATACTTCAATAAAATAACACTTAAATTGTATTTGTAAGTCTTAAACAGAAAATTTATTCAAAATAAAAAAGAAATTAATATACAATAATTAGATCAAGTATTTTAAAAAAATTGTTAACATAATTTATACTTAATAGTAATAACTTGTCATATTGAACACAAATGTGATAATCCCCAAAAGTCTTAAATGCTGATGTCCAAGGTTCCAGTTCACACCTTAGTTCTAATGGGCATGTGATTTGATTCAGGGAAAGGTGGATTAGCATAGTGCTGACAACACAATCCCTGATAAGCTAATGTAACAGATAATGAAGAAATTTTGCCACAAATAGACAATAAGAACACTGTAAAAAATAACATTTATAAAATAAAATTGTATTATTATGATGATGCTTATAAAGTACAATGTATTAAATGATTTAACTACTTGATATAGTGTAGATATGTAGTTCTGGCACTGGATCAGTATGCTGTATAGAAGACTGGATGCCTGGAAGCCTGTGGTGAAGACAGGAATGTAACTCACTACCACTCAAGTGTTGCTGACTTGCTATCAGAGAAAAACTTGGCACTAGTTTACAGCCCAGAGCAGATGGCAGTGTCGAGCTTATGGCTTGTGCTGTGTCTGGTTCCTTCTGTGACACAAGGCTGTTGTCTATACATGCGGTGTGAATCCCAGGGTGCATCAGTGGTTGGTCTTGAATGTCCTGGGTGAGGTTGGCAGAGCAGACAGGAAGTGACATCGCAGTAGAGTTGATCTGAGATGTAACATGTTGGGTGTTGTCCAGCACTGAAGTGTCGGTGTCTGGGCAGTTTAAGACATTTTGAGTGCCATGAATTCTTCGCAGGTGCTTTTTAAGAGAGGAACGTTTGGTAAACTTGCTGCTGCAGATTTCACAGCGGTGAGGTTTATCTCCCGAGTGAATTCTCTCATGGCTTCTAGCATGCGATGAGCATGTAAAAGCTTTACCACATACGTTACATTTATAATTCCTTTCTCGGTTTTGGCTGTGAATTTTCATGTGAGATCTTAGATAGCTTTTCTGAGTGAAACCAGATTCACATACTTTACACTTGAAAGGTTTATCCCCTGTGTGTTTTCTTATGTGCCCCTCAAGATAAGACTTTTGCAAAAACTTGCGACCACAAATTGGACATTTAAAAGGCTCTTCCCCACTGTGTGTTTTCATGTGGATAGCTAACTGGTGATTTTGCTTGTAGGATAAATTACAAATTTTACAAACAAAAGGTCGTTCGCCTGTATGCTTCATTAGGTGTAATTTTAATTTACAGGAATGCGTAAAAGAAAGACCACAATATTCACATGAGAAACGATCATCCAGTTTCAAACCTTCATGAATTTGTTTAATATGTTTCTTCATGCTGGAAGTTTGGGAGAATAATGCATTGCAAAACTCGCATTTGTATGGCTTTTCACCTGTGTGCTTTCTTTCATGGTTTTTCAGCTGGCCAGGCTTAAAGAAGGCAGCCCCGCAGGTAGAACAAGCGTGGGGGCGCTCTCTATTCTCAGAATGTACTTTCATGTGACTTTTAAGATAGTAGGACAGCTTGAAACTCATCCCACAAATATCGCATGTGTAGGGTTTAAGATCCAAATGTGTCTGCATATGATTATTTAAAGTTGTTTTTAATAAAAATCTCTGCCCGCAAGTTGTACACTCATGGTTTTTTTCACCAGAGTGGATATTTTTGTGATTAACAAGCATGTTCTGTTCCGCAAAAGCCGAACCACAAATTTCACACATGTAAGGTTTAGTTGCATTGTGTTTGCTCATAAGATGAAGTTTAAGCTTTGAGGGGTAAGGGAAATAAAGCCCACATATTTCACAGCTGTAGCGCGTGTTACGATGTTCACTCCTCCTGTGCTGGTAATGATCACGCGTGCTGAAAAACGTCTGTCCACAGTCCTCGCATGAAATTTTTATATCTTTAGAGTGTGAGAGCTGATGTTGGTCAAGAGCCGTCTGGAGCTCAAACAGCATGTGACACTCGGGACATTTGAATGCCAGGAGCTCAGGGTGGGCGTGTCTCATGTGGCGTGACCTGCTGCCAGAGTGGAGAAAACCCAAGTCACACACTTGACACTTGTACAACCTTTGACCTGTGTGAGTCAGCATGTGACATTTTAACTTGTGCGCTGACTTGTAGGCCCTACCACACACGGCACAGGTTTTTATTTTCTTTGATTTGGAATCGTAATTATCCTGATCCATAATGGAATCATTTTCTTTTTCGTAATCACAAGAATTTTGATCATCATGGTTGTAATTTTCTTCACTAATGAACTGCAGTTTAGCAGGAGATGATCCAAAATCTTTACGTTCACACGAGTCTCTATCAACAGTCACACATATTTCAGAGATTATATCTTTTTCAGGGATGTACGTGAAAGTAACAGCTGGATTGCTATTATGCAGCTGGTGTTGGAAAATGTCATTGTCAAATAAAGAGTTTTTATTTGTAGCTGAACCATTCTCTTCTGTCACATTTTTAGTGTGGAAACTTTTCACTTTTGAGGTTTTCGCATTAACAGAAACTGAGCTTGAAATAATACTTCTCTTTTTTTTCAACAACAGTGAATTAGAGTTTAATTTAGACTTAATCGTGCTTATTCTATTCAACCTGGCATTCAGTCTTTGATCTCTGTCGCGAGTTTGATGCCCTCCAAGCATCAACTTACTTTCCTTCACCACTTTTTCTTCCCTTTCTGAAATAGTGTCTGAATTACACTCACTATTTTTACCACAAATATCAAAAACTGTAATTAGATCCAAGGAATTTTTTCCTTTCAACTTTATGCGTAGCTTTTCATCACTAACGCCATTTATAATTCTACCCACAACATATTTTTCTATATGATCATAAAATTCACAGTACCTAGCTTGAGATTGCACACTTGCTATGTACTCACCAACACTGTCTTTTCCTACTTGATTACATGTAAAAAATTTAAAACGTTCATACAATAATATAAAACCTGACATACATCTATCTTCAATTTGATCTAACAAGTTATTTATACTACTGGGATCTGGCTTTTTTTGTAAAGGTAAACTATTAAAGAGTTCATATATATCAGCGCCACCTATGTGGAGTAAAACAGAAGAGCACGGCAAGTGTGTTTTTCTTTCGGAATCCTGACCCAAATTAGAAATGCTTTTAAGCCTCTGTTTCATAAAGCTCCAGTGAACTCTGGATTCCGAAGATGCCTCATTGTAATGGGGTAATGGAAGAATAAATTCCATTTCAAACCAAAACGTCAAGTACCTGACAGTAAGGAAGAATACATTACTTGAAATACCTCAATAAATAATCAGTTTCATTGAGGAATTCGAAAAGAACCTGCAAAATAAAAAATTAACCACATTTATATTTTTAGAGTACTAGAAATTGTGAGTAAGGCAAAATAAAATTAATTTAGTGTATGGGATGGTGTAATCCGAGGGCAGAGCATATGACTGCTAAGTCCCAAACATCTCAAGTTCGAATCCTGGATTCATGTCAGTAGAACGTCCCAACTCTGATGGGTATATGACTCACATTATGATTAGGGAAAGTAAAGGTGGCTGAACATAATGCAAACCACACAATTCCTACATATGCCAAAGTCACTGAAACAGATGAACTTTAATTCACCAGTTCAATGGACCATCAGGTTTGGATTGGAAAGTATACTTTACTTTTAAAAGAAATGTTTTTTTGCATGTGTGAAATCTTTATCAATAAACTTTAATGTGAGAAAACTATAAATTAAACTTTATGTGGTTAGACCTATTTAAATAAATAAATAGGTCTTACCACATATAATAATAATAATAATAAATATCACTAATGATAAGGAAGGGAGACTGCACGTGCGTGGTATGTGGCCTGACCGACTGAAAGGAGATTGTTTATATTATTGTTTAGAGTTTATATTTAAGATAATGCAACAAGCCAGCCAGTTGATGGAGGCCAGGCCAGGGGGACGTTGTCTGGGATTCAAAGGGTCGATTAAGATAAAATAATGAAAATATGCATATGGCGTCCCCAGTGGCGTAGCGAGGTCGGGTGTCACCCGGTGCGGCACTAAATAGTATCACCCCCCAGAGGCGTAGCGACCCTTCCCGGGGACAAACTTTCAATTTTTTTATTTGTACCCCCCCCCCCTCAAACTTTCAATTTGCAACCCCCCCCCCCCTCAAGTTTTTCTCTATATATTTTTCTATTTTTTGCCTTGGTGTCACCCCCCTAAATGGTGTCACCCGGTGCTGTCCGCACCCCCCGCTACGCCTCTGGGCGTCCCACTCCCGTAATTAATTATTGTCAACATTAAGATTATTTATACGGCATACGGTGAATACCGGTGATTAGCAAAAAGGACAAACCACGAAAACTCGTCGAAAACTGGTCCAAAAAACTACTGGTACTAGATCTAGATCAAAGTACTAGATCTAGATCTAAGTACTAACATTATATTTATATTTTACATGTCATGAATGGGTAAAACCTTGAGACTGTCACTGTCTGTTAAATAGAGCGTTTCTCAGTAAATTTAGTAATAATAATATTGATAACAAACAACTGTTGTTAGGCCATTGTTTTAGACGACGTGTCGTCTAATTACCGAGAAATTTGAAAAAAATACGATTGAACAACAGTAATAAATTTAATTTTGAATGTAGGCCCTAATAATAACTATTTTTATTTAATATTATTATGCAGCTTTTAATTAAAAACTTTTTTGCCTGAATAAATATTTGAGGAGGGATACATATGCTTTTATGCAAACCGGCAACTATACAATGGATATTTAGATCTTAGTGTGCTTAATGAAGTGTTGCTAAAACTCAGAAAAGTTTTTTAAGATATTTAAGTGGTATAACAGTCTGTTTTCAAGTGAAATTGTGCGCTATACAAACCATATCCCAGCAGCATAATGGATTCTTTTTATCTTCACTGTAGGATGAGAGTATCATCCTATATATCCTCTCCCCCCCCAAGCAGAGTTTCTTCCAGGCATCTCTTCGGGGCCCCTCGAAAAATTTTTACCGCCCCCCCGAACGAAATGAAATTTATATAATTTATATAGAAAATATATACTTTTAACAGTGTCCGCCCCCCCCGAAGAAAGTTTACCGCCCCCCCCCCCCCGAAGATTTCAAGTGCCCCCCCCCCCCCCCGGAGAAAAAAGTCTGGAAGAAACACTGCCCCCAAGAAGTTGCAATAGGACATTAACACCCTGCCAGTTATTAATTAGCCATAATTGGGGATAGAGTTATGGATATTTTAATAAATGATCTCAATGGAATGAACTTTTTTTCTGCAGTTTGCTATATTTATATCTGCAGGTTTCTCACTTAAGTTATATAATAGATATTCTGGTATTCTCAAGTACCAATTGGGTGGGGGAGGGGGGAAGAAGTGAAGAGTGATTTGATAGGGGATATAGGGTAGTGTGAATATCCTAGATTTGAGAAATGTATAAATACACTAAAGTTAGGTGAATACAATTTTATCTTGTTTTATGAGGAAATAATGTGGTGATGTTAAACTTAAAAAAAAGAAGAGTAGGCATGCCTCCTGTTAGGAGCAGGTACACTACATATCTTTGTTGTATATAGAAAGAAACATTTCTCTCACATTCTGCATACAAACTTGAGAAATAATTCTATTTAAGAAAAAAAGAAGAGTAGGCATGCCTCCTGTTAGGAGCAGGTACACTACATATCTTTGTTGTATATAGAAAGAAACATTTCCCTCACATTCTGCATACAAACTTGAGAAATAATTCTATTTAAGAAAAACACGTTTTAAGTGAATACATTATTTAATAAGCCAAATAAAGTATTCTAAATATAATTGTTATCCTTATATTATAAATCAAACATTTAATAAAATAAATGTTGAAAACAAATATATGCCAATCTGTTTTTAATGAAAAAGCTAATTATCCTTTATTTTGTTTTTCTTCTTCTTAGTAGAATCTCCAACTGGTGTGTCTTCTTCTGTTAATGATTTATTATGCTTGTGTTTTTTGGATATTTTAGGTGTCAAAGTTTCTGTAATGTCATCTATTTTAGAATCTTTTTCACTCTTTTTCTTCTTCTTTTTACCAGAAGAGCTCTGATTTGATTGAAAATCTTCAGAACAGTTGGTTTCTAATGATTTTTTATTCTTTTTATGCTTTTTGTTTTTAACAGATGACTCCTCATTACCACTTTGAATCTCACTCGGTTTTGTCTGTTTATCAGAATCAACTGCACTACCATCGTTACCGTCCATAGATTCTTGGCTACTCCGATTTGATTTGTTTTTCTTGGATTTCTTCTTTTTATGGGTACCTTTTTCCGAGCATGGTTCTACTTCCTGAACTTCAGACTCTGAATGCTTTTTGACTTTCTTTTTCTTCTGGTTCTCCTCTGCATCAGCCTCTATTTCCTGGGCATCAGATTCTGAATGTCTCCTCTTCTTTTTCAGATCTTTTCTGCTATGTTTCTGATCTTCTATGCTTTCATTCAGGCCATCTTCTCTAGGTCCTTTGACCCGTTCAAAGCAGGCAACAAAAAATCCTTGTGTCAAGTTCTGCTCAGGAGTTGTTCTAAGAAAATATTCAGCATGAGGAAATTCTTTTAAACCTCTTCCACCTTCCCAGTGTGGCAGTACCTTTACAAATCTGTAATGGTTAGATACCTGGCCCATCACTTCTTCAACAACTTCTTCATTCTCTTCTTTATGAATGGAACAAGTTGAGTACACTACACGCTTAACACTGGGAAACCGAAGAGCATGTTTTAAAAGGGAAATCTGAAGTCTTTTTAGACCTTCTATCCTGTGTTCGTCATGGTCATTAACATCTTTCCCTTGCAGTTGACCAATCATTCCTAACAAAAATATGATGAAAAAAAAAACATTTAGTGGATAGCAATGAAATAATAATTAATAAATACAGTATTTTTTAAATTTTGACAAAAGGAAATCATTTCAATTTTAAACTTACATTAATTAAACGTGTACAACAAAAACTAAAACCAACTCATTAGTTAAAGCTGTTATCTGTATCAAATTTTTAATCAAGCAATGTTTACCAGAGCCACTACAGGTTGGGTCCATTAATATGTAGTCAATATTGGAAGCATCTGATGAACTAGCTTCTACTGTCAAGAAGTCTTGATGGACCAGCTCAATGCAAGATGCTCCAGAACGTTTTAGTAAATCTGACATAATGTTCAATCTTTTAAAATTAACATCCATGGCTATCACCTTCCTAAATGGAAAGAAAAAACCCAGAATTTATAAAAGCAGTTGGCGTACAATTGAATTAGTCTTAAATTATCGGAAGTGTACAAAAATGTAGTAACATTAGCACAAACAAATTTTTTTTTTGAAAAACTTAACGACCAAATTTCTGACTCAGATAGTACGGTGATTAACATTTGAAGCAGTATAACGTTTGCTATGTAAATTATTATGTTTTGGAGTTTCTGTCCTCATTCTCAATTTTTAATGACTTCAATAATGTAATTTGAATGGTATTTCTTATAAGTGTTAAATTTTTATGACATGTTTTTAAAATTTTAAATGTATTACATAAATGTTTTATTAGCTTAACTCAAGTGTGGTACTGAAAAAGTCAACAAAATATTTACTAGAAACAAAGTGTTTCTATTATATTATCTTTATAAAGTTAAAACTGATATAAATATATTAGAGTTGAACGTATACAGAATTAAATGTATGTTTAAACAGACGGCTAATGCTAAAATTATCTACATTAAGCTAAAATTGATTTGAAATCCTCAAGAATTAAACCTATAAAGAATTAAACATGATTTGATTACTTTTAAATAAAAGTAGAAAAACGCACCCATTATCCTTCATAAGGCTGGCAATGTGGCTTGTTTTATTACCCGGGGCAGCACAACAATCCATCACAGTAGAGCCTGGTGGTGGGTTCAAGATGTGACCTGGCATGCAACTAGCCTGCAGTGTTTGACAGCAACATAAATAAAACCCTTTCAATTCTACTTTTAACAGTGATTATAATGTACACAATATTTGTAACTGATTTATTATTAATTAAATTTCTTTCTAGTGATCTTTTTAAATACCATAAATAAAACACCTTTCTGCCAATATACAAAAATGTTTTACCTAAAATCATAGATATATGTTGGGTGAATATAATTCTAGACCCTGCTGAACTCTTTTATTTACAGTGCTTGATTCCATTCTGCTATTCCACCCTATGTATATTTAATGACCACCTCACTCTATGTAAATTTACAAAGACAAACTAAAACTAAAAAGCATAACTTCATTATTCAACTACCAAAGGAATTCATTTTATATATTAATCATCATGTTTGCACTTGGGAACATACTCTTTCTCAACCGGCAACCTTTAACAAGAAAAATAATTTTTTTTTCACCTTGTCTTGTTGAATGAGCTTTCCGTCAGTTGTGAGGTAGTGGGCGTGAAAATCAGTTCCTACAGGAAACACTAGAACATCAGGGAGATGAGGGTCAAGCCCAAACTGTGAGCTTGACATGGACAAGACAGTGTCTTTAAAACTGAAAATACAAGTGAAAAGATTCAGCGCACAAAGCTTTTCAGTTCTTTAAAAACAAACAACAAAAAGTTTTGTACACATCATGGAACTTAACCACAAAATTTCAATGTGTAATTTTGTTAATAATTACCTGGCACTTTCAATTTTTCCTATATATTCCCAGCCTTCTGATTGCAGTTCTCCAACTACATCCTCAACAGTTGATTTGATAAGGTTTACACGCATATAACGTGGTATTTCTAAACGCAAGAAGTTGAAAAAGAAAACTGTACAGAATCTAAAAAAAGAGCTAACAAAAAATCTACAGGACTATTTTTACCTAATTATAAGATCTTAAAAGATATATCATATGTGATGAGCTTGAATATTGCCAATAAAAGTATGCAATTTTTTTACATTTTATTTAACGGAGAAGGTTAAATAACAAAATATTAGCTTACTAATGCTTTTGTCTTTGGTCAAAAGTTTAACAACACTTTTAAGGTCTTTAGCTGTATGTTTCGCTATTATTTTAGCAGCAGCATTTTTGAAGTCAGTTTTGTATTGTAACAGTACTTTCTGAAACACAGCAATGAAAAATAAAATTACTTATTTAAAAAAAAATGTATCATCTAAGAAAAAAAAGTTATTGCAAATGGCTTAGATCAACTGAGCAGTACTTTTTATACTTTACATCAGTCGGATATGAAAAGGAAGTTCACAAAAATAAAACAAAGGACGCTGAAGCATCATCATTAAACTACACCCTGCCCCATAACCATAATTAAATATTTACACGACAACAGATGCACCATAATAACAATCAGCATTTATAAGATTTCTCACTTACTCTGAAATGTACATTTCTCCCAAAATTTTTCCCTAAAAGGTATTCATAGAGAAGAACCAATGCCATCTCATGGCTACCGTCAACTATTTCCTCTTTCATAAATCCATTACCAGAACAATCTGACAAGATTTCTTCAAGAATTCCACGACAGCTTACGACATGATCCACCAAGGCAGTTAGTTGTTTGACATTCTGAAAATTCAACAAAACAGTGTTTTAAAGCTACAATAATTATAATAATAACAACGAAAGTGACTACTTGGAACAAGATTTTTTGCCCCAGAGTCTCCATCTATTCAGCAAAAGATAGTTCTGCGCATGCGCAGTGGCCTTAATAGCTGAGCTAGGGTTAGGGCTTGGGTTGGGGTTCTGCGGTTTGTTAGTAAACACATGCATGTGCAGTACCATCGAAAATGTCGCTGCAAAGGCAAGTCGTAGTTTCTTTCCATTGCATATACGTATCTTTTTCTGGCTAGAATCAACCTAATAATAATATGTAGGCCTAAATCTGACTAGATCTAAATCAATATTGTCTATTGATTCAATATCAATAAGCAAAATTTGAATGTTATAATTTTAAAATAATTTAGAATAGTAGAAGTAGAATTTATCACAAAAAATGCAAAATAAATTATTTTTTTTAAAAATAAGCCTAAACCATTTCATTCATTTAGATTTAAACTAGTTAGTAAAGTTAGGAATAGTTAATAGATCTATAAATTTAATAAATAGTTAGTTACGTCAAGAAATTTTGCGTTAAAAATCAAATAGTGAAAAGCTGTATCTTAACCCTTTGAGCCCGCCAGGCCGGTAAACCGGCTTCAACATTAGGCATATATGTCCAAAAAGCTTTTTTTTCCGGCCCGATGATCTAGCGTCATATTCCTAGCGGCCGGTATACCGTCTAATTAAATATAATTAGCGGAAGACTGACTAAAACTGTGCATATATCTTTTGAGTGCGGGATTATGATTTTAAAAATTGATTATTAGGAAAAGTGAAAGTGTTTACATTTTGTAGCAATGCCGCCGAAACGAAAAGCTGAGCCACAGCCGTTGACTTCATCAGACAAAGTTGGTGCAAAAGATGAAGCAAAAGACCGAAATATCAACAAAAGAAGTAGAATGACTGCATCTCAGGCAATACAACTAGTTATTGATTCTGATGAAGAAGATAATATTCCTAGTCTATATTGTGATGATAGTGACGTTGAATTTGAGACTGAACACAGTGACATTGAAATTGACAGTGTTAATGAAACTGTTCAAGTACGTTCTGATGCACATGGTGTCAAGGACAAAGTATTGCCGAAACGAAAAGAAAAATATTTACTGGTGCAAAACATGCGACGTTCTTCTTTGCATCGGGTCCGGCAGTGATAACTGTTTTGAAAGTTATCACACAAAAGTGGACCTCTGGCGTTGAACTAGTATGGCCAGGTATCAATAATAACAAAACAATTACTAAATGTGAATTGGTTTCTTCTATGTTCTATCAAAACAATAATGATATGTTCGTTTTATATACATTGTTCTGTTCAAACATTGTAAAAAAAAAAAAGAATTTCAGAATCTTGCTGCATTGTTTTTTTATCCTGAGTCTGGATACCAAATTTGGCTTGATTATCTCAAATGGTTCAAAAGTTATAGGCAAAGTTAGAAGCAGATAAGTGAAAATCGTTTTGGGCCTGGGAGCTCAGGAAATGGGAGAAATTAGGTCAGGGAGGCCAGGGCTCAAAGGGTTAATAGACTAATAGACTTTTATAATAGATCTAGAATTTAGGTCAGTATAGGTCAGACTATTGTTAATTTGAACAATCTAGTTAGTTAACAGTTAGTAGTAGTCTAGACTTCTTAATTCTTACAAGCTTTGTGATTTGTGTCACATTCTTAAAAATTTATATAAATATTTTAAATTAAAATAGGGTTATTTTAATTTTGGTAAAACTCTATTTTAGCGTATTTTATTCACCGCTTCATGTTCACCTCCGGTTGAGCGTATTTTATTATCAACACTACCAAAACACACAAAAACGTTAGGAAAACACTAGGATTAGTAGATTAGGTAATAGACATGGATCTACTTATTTTTTATGAATTTTTGTTTTAATTTGAAAAAGGAAAAAAAAGATAAAAAAAACAGCATTACATTTTCAATTAAATAGGGTGTGATCGTTGGCGTAATAAAAATCTCTACATGGTCAAGGGTTCACAGTGAGTTCACATTGACTTTAATCATCAATTTTTTTATCATACGTCATTCATTAGCTTAGGGGCATTGTGAGTTCATATAAGTTAGTTTATTTATATTATCATGAGTGCGTGATATTTTAGCAATACAAACTTAACGGACTAGAATTTATGAGTTTCTCCTTAAATGACACGAACCTACTTTCAAGAAAAAAAAAGCTGTGCTCATTCAATATTTCAAATTTGAATTTTTCTGAAGTTTTGACAAAAGTAAAAGGCCGATTCTAGTCGGAATAAGATACGCATGCGATACGCATGCGCAATGGAGAGAAACTACGACTTAGCGGCGATGTTTTCGATGGTACTGCGCATGCGTGTGTTTACAACCGCAGAACCCTAATACTTTAATACCAACCCTAATCCTATGCTTAACCCTATCCCTAATCCTATACCTAACCCTAACCCTAGCCCTAACCCTAACCCTAGCCCTAATCCTATCCCTAACCCTATCCCTAATCCTACCCCTAACCCTCATTCTAGCCCTAACCCTAGGTCACTGCGCATGCGCAGAACTATCTTTTGCCGAAAAATCTTATTCCGAGTAGACACTTCGAAAGTAAAATGATCAATAATTAAAACAAAAGTTCATAAAGCAATAGGCCTAGTGTTTCCTAACGTTTGTGTGTGTTTTGGTTGTGTTGATAATAAAATACGCTCAACTGGAGGTGAACGTGAAGCGGGGAATAAAATACGCTAAAAATTAAAATGGAGTTAAATCTACTTTTAATTTTATATCCCGATTGAGGGCCGATTATAATAAAATTATATTCTTTCTTACCCTAAATGGTGAAGTAAACACCAACGATCTCAAAGTAGCTTTCTTCGCTTTTAATTTTTGTAAAACGTTTGCAGCTGCACTATAAATATTACATTTTTTATCTGATCTATCATGTTGCTGCTCCATGTTTCATTAAGCCAAACTCTCACTGTTTCAGCCAAAAACACATGTAGATTAAATGAATTTAGTAAGTTAGAGTTATCCCTTCCTGTTTCATTTATGTTTACAATGAGATGTAATTTTAGTACCAAAATATAACGTTAAAGTTTTAGATAGGCCATTGAAAAAAATGTTTATTTATTATTTACGTTATTTTCATAGCTTGTTTGAACTTTAAATGGTGCTAATGATTCAGACACAATTTAGAAGCATGGATCCTTACTCTACTTCACTTTTACTTAAGAAATACTTCTTAAATTTGGATAGATTTGTTTAAAGGGAAACAACTCCATAAATATTTAAGGGAAAAAATAATCTTTGGGTTATATCCCCTTATCTAAGAAATTTATGTTCGAAAAAGTGAGAAGCAATCAAAGCACGGTGGTGGCGGACGTTTAGAGAATATGGGGGAGCGTCGAAGAAGGCTGAAAGTCTGCTACAAAAACGTGACTACATTTTTAAAACCCTCTGTCTCTAATGCAGATTTAACTGGCTCTATCAGCATCACTGCTTTTTATTTAATTGAGCCCTACAGACACATCAGGATGAACAGACAATAATTTTCTTTTAACAATTTTGCCAGCTGCAAGACTGGCGAGTCTCTTCTGATATAACTTCGTCGGTGTGGTAACCTGTAGTTTGGATTTGGGAACAGTTCATATAGATTTCATGCTAGCAAGGCTATACTGCAGATGAGTAATATCTAATATTAGATTTCGATAGTAGTACAAATTACGTTTTTCATGGTTTATTTCTCTTTTAATATTATTGGTAAATTCCAATAGCACTATAAATGATAAGTATATTATATTAGTATTAGTCTTTTAAGTAATAAAGAAAAGAAAATACCATACTAGATCTAGAATAAAATGTGGTCTGTATCAATATTAGAATAAATTTACATAGTTTAAATATATAGGCCTAATAGAATCCAGGTATTTCATCATATTCAATAGTCTGAAGTTATTTTTCTTAAGTGGATCATAAAAAAAGTTAGCTAAAGATTGAAAATAGTGTATTGTCCTTACTCATATTATATTGAATAAAATTTAATGTCTCCACAAACTTTTACCATCTTAGTTAAGTTCAAATTATATAAATATTACACAACAGCATCTCAGATGGCAACACATATTGCATAACACCAACCATAAAAAAAACAAATAATTAATATATTGAACAGCAAATTAAATAAAATTTAAAAGTTTAGACATTATTTTCATATCATATTTTATTTAGATACAAGTTTTAACATGGCATTGGTTTAGTTTTATATTATAAAAAACCCTACCAAAATTCAGCAGCTTTCATTTTATTTTCGTCGCAGTATACCCAGTTATTCCCTTGAAGGATTACTCATTTTCTGAGTGTCTTTTTTTCTTTTTCTTCTTTTTACTTTTTTCTTTAGCTTCAGCCCTTTCTTCCTCTTCATTCTCTCTGTCTAAATGTTTCTGGACAGCATCAAGAAATATTTCAGATGACTCCTGTTTAGCCGTTTTCTTTTTTTCCTTAGCTTGTTCAGTTACATCTAAACTCAAATCTTCATTTTTAAATTCTGAATCAGTTGAGGAGTGTCTTCTTTTCTTCTTTTTCTTTTTTCTATATGGCTCTGTTGAATCTATGCATAAGGGTGGTAAAATATTTTTCTTTTCTTCAGACACATTTAAATTCTCTAATTCTAAGTCGTCAGTTTCTGCATGTTTTCTTTTTTTGCTTTTCTTTTTCTTCTTAGTTTTCTCGCATGCACCATTTGTCTCTGGTGCTGACAAAACATTTAGCACTTCATTGTCCATATTTTCTGTAAAAGTTTCAGAATTAGTTAAAGCTTCTTCTTGATCAGTTTCAGATTTAACATTATTTCTCTGAATATGATCTATTAAATCTACATTCAAAGTATTATTTTCAGTTTCTACGCCAGGCTCTGACTCAGAATGTTTTCTTTTTTTCCTTTTCTTTCTGTTCTCCTCTTTTAAGGGTTCCATTTCTCCTGATGCTGTAACATCACATTCTTTATTAGCTTTGTCTGTAACTTCATTCACACGCTCAAAACAAGCAACAAAAAAACTTTGCGTCAAATCAGATTCAGTTAATGTCCTTAAAAAATTGTTTGCATTTGGATATTTATCAACCCCTCTGCTGCCTTTCCAATGTGGAAAAATTTTTGTGAATCTGAAAAATTTGGAAACTTTTTCCATAACCTGCTCAACCACAGCTTCATTTTCTTCTTCATAAGTAGAACAGGTTGAATAGACAACTCTCTTAACATTTGGAAAACGGAGGGCATGCTTTAAAAGTAAAATCTGATTCTTTTGCAGCTTTTCTATTCTACTAATGTCTTTCTCTGATTCTTTTCCAAACAACCCTGAAATAAAGTTAATAACAAAATGTTAAATAACTATAACATTGTATGAATGTAAACAAAATGTCTGGGATAATAAAGTTAGACACAAAGACTAATGACAGAAAAGCGATGAAAAATAAAAAACACATACATAATAATAAACTACATGCATAGTACCTGAACCACTGCACGAGGGATCTAGCAATATTAGATCAATGTTTGAGCCATCTGTTGTGGGGTCCACTGAGAGAAAGTTTTTGTAGACTGATTCAACACAGGTAACTCCATGGTTTTCAAGTAACTTGGACATTTTCAAGGTGTTTTTTTGAGGTTGGTTCATTGTCAAAACTTTTCTGAAAATCAAAATTTAGTGATATAGTTTTTGGATTCCATTCTGGAAAAAATGTCTTAAACTATTAAAACTGAATTAAACAATTGAAAATATTTTCTTTTTTCTAATAGAAAGCAGCAAATAAGCACACCAAATTGTAAATATTTAAGCCAGAAAATTGACTTTATATAACTATGTAATGCAAATATTCTCTGTATTTTGTTGTGTTGATAGTTTTTAAAAAAGTAAAATAAAATCTTTTAAAATGTGTTTTGTAAGAGACTTGCCAGGTTTAATAAAATCTTTTGAAATGTGTGACAAAAGATACACACCCTGTGTTTTTCAAGTGACTTGCCAGGTTTAATAAAATCTTTTAAAATGTGTTTTTTAGGAGACTTGCCAGGTTTAATGAAATCTTTTAAAATTTGTGACAAAAGATACACACCCTGTGTTTTTCAAGAGACTTGCCAGGTGAACTGATTTGTTGCCAGGAGCAGCACAACATTCTATAACATAACTCCCGGAAGTTGGATTGAGTACATGACATGGAAAACAACCTGCCTGTTAAGATGTGGATAATGGTAGCAATTAACATTTTACTTAAGGCGCAATCATATTTCTAAAAAAAATTATCAAGGGAAATGAATCTAGCAGAGCAGTTGACCTCAGAATATGGAGAATTTTAAAATTAAGCTGCCCTGCACAAGGAATGCAGATTTGTGTAAGTAGGAGAAAGCTTAAAAAAATAAACAAAATAACAACAAACCCTATCTTGCTGCACCAGAACCCCTGATATTGTAAGACGATGGTTGTGTAGATCAGTTCCAACAGGAAATATTAGTAGATCAGACAGGTAGGGGTCCAGTCCAAACTGATCTTTACCCAGGGAAAGAGCACTCTTTTGATAACTGTTTTTAAATGGTGACTAAACAATTAACTTTGCTTGCAAGTATTAATTTTTTAAAAAGTAAAAAACAGTAAAAAAAAAAAAACAAGTATGAATATATTAAAATTATATGATTACAGTGCCATATTAAGTACTAAATATTTCACCAGTAGCTGCTGATTTTCCCTGTGTATTTCCAACCATCGACTTTCAGAGCATGTATAGCATCCTCAACAGTTGATTTGATGATATTCACACGCATATAACAAGGTATTTCTAAATAAAAGGAAGAATTTTCAAATTCAAACAAATCCATTGTAGGTAAAAATAAGTTAATGTTCCAGAAAAAAAGTGTTTAAATGCAATACATTTTAGAACATGTGAATTGTCATTAAAAGCGCTGTTCTTTAAGCTTACACATAAACTTACTAATAATTTTATTTTCAGCAACAGCAGTCACCAAATGACGTAGAGACTTGGCATTATATTTCCTCAAAACTATTGATGTGGCATTTTGAAATTGAGCTTTATAATTCTGCATGATTTTCTGAAAGCATATTAAAAACAAGAAAATGAATATTTTAGAATCTACTGGCCATGATAGGGTACTTTTAATAAATGTCTCTACTCCCTATGACTAATTAACATCTTTGCTGATATTTGTTCCATGTTAAGGTATCAACTATTGTGACACTAGTAAATATTCCTATAGGGCTTAAGAGGTATGGAAATGGACCAATATTGTATAATGTTTTTCATAGTGACTTATTTACTAATTATTTTGTCTGTTTATTAGTCAAGGAAAGTTTGTTTGACTAAAAACTGCACTGACCCTTAAATGAAAATTTTTTCCGAAATTTCGCCCCAACAACAGTTCATAAAGGAGAACCAACGCTTTTTCTGAGCTACCCCCAACAATTGTTTCTTCCATAAATCCATTGCTGGCTGGACAATGTGAAAGTATTTCTTCAAGAATTTTTCTGCTGTCTGTAATCTGGCTGACCAAAGCAAGCAGCTGTCTTGTGTTCTGAAGAAAGATGTTACAACGATTAAAGTTAGAAAATAGGAAATGAAATAATAGTAATAAGTAATAGTACTAATAAGTAATAGAAACTTGAAACAGCTACACTAGATCTAGTATTACTTTAATACTTTTACTACTACTACTCGACTAAATAGATATTGATATAGAATAGGTTCTAGATTGGTTTTGAAGAATAGAATTTATTCAATTAGAATTTATTAGAATAGTCCATGGATATTTTAAATTTTTTACATTTCATGTCACTGTCATTTAGTCATTTAGGCCTAACTTTTACTTCAAACTAACTTTTTTTTTAAAATTTTTACTTTAAGTCTTAAGTAACTTAACTAACTAAACTAGATCTAGAGAATCTAGAATCTAGCTAGATTCTAGTCTAGTTCGTCTAGCTAGAGTCTAGATCTGACTAGAGTAGTCTAGCTAGTAGCTAGACTCTTACTTTAGTCTTAGCTTAGTTAACTTCTACTTCTAGTTTCTACGAATCTACGTTGTCAGTCGTTGTAGGCTAGGCTAGATTCTTGTTGTATGTTTACTTTTTTTGTTTACATTTTAAAAAATGTAATAATGCTACCTGACTCTCTGTTGACGTAACAATTTTTTTGAGTTTATTTTTTGGTACGTTTGCCTTTTCTAAGACAGATGCTGCCTCGCTGAAAATATCGTTTTCCATTTTCAGCAGACCATGTGAAAACATACACCTCGGCACTTAGCAAAAATAGCATCTTCCGTAATTTAAACTAAACCTTAAGTGTCTAAAACACGAAATTTTACAAAAATGTTTTTGTACATGAATGAAATAATCATAATCGAAAACGGATCTATCGATACATTCTAATCTATAGGCACTACGTCTATTACACTTCGTAAAAACAAAAGCGTTTCTTTACCAAACAAATTACAAAAAAGTAAGGCTAGAATATATTTCAAGACGATGATTTTTTTTTTAAATTTAAAAACGCCAATATTAATTTTGCCAACTCATGTATAACTTTTGAAGCCTCAGGTTTGGTTCTGGGCTGGAGTAACTAGGACGTTCCTGAGTTAGGGAAAGTTATCCAGCTGGTCATAGAACTGATCGCGATTTCCCTAACATGTCGAGGTCATATAAGTAGGCGAATCGCCACTTTACTTGCTTTTTACTTTAATATTAATATGCCTGGCACTATACAAACTTAACTACTGCCTACTGTTGATAAATAAAGTTAAACAAATATCATTTAATTTTTAAAAGATCGAGATCGTTGTCATTTTTAAAGCAATAGGCCTATCTGCCGACAGTCACACAATTTTTTTTGAAGGGTCTACACAGTCAGAAAAGAAAATAGCTTGTGATAAAAAAGGACCTTATATCATATTATATATTGGTTTTTAAAGCTCCAACAAAAGGGTCACATCGAAAATGGCACTAGTCAATACGAAAAAGTAAAGTAACGATTTCGAACATTACGGCCCATAGGTTAGGAGTTCACAAGTCTCAGTAACTCCGGTGTGCGTATGGATAGTGTGGTCAGCAATATATGCCCAACCGTCTTACTTTCCTTGATGTGAATTAGATACATTAGAGCTGGGTGAACTCATAGATGTCTTACCTATAGATTCGAGACTTTATGGGGTTAGCAGTCGAAAGCTGTATACCATTTTTTGACCACGCCGTCCCTTCGACCAAGACGTCCGTCAATGCGGCCGGGTTGCGTTTTTCAATAACAATAAAGAAAATAGTAAGTTTTGACAAAGAAAAAAGTAGAAGTAAAATAGTTCTGTTTTGCTGCAAAAATCCCCTATCCCGGCGACCGACCGACAGAACAACTGACCTTTTCTGCTTGTTTGTGAGGGATGATCCGCGAACGTTAGGGCCTAAATGAGCACCTTGTTTTTGGAGGTACCGAACCCCACTTGCTGCATAATCACTTTCACCGAACCCTTCTTGACAAGAAAAACACAATATGATTTTTGTTTCAACATCTCAGTGTTCAATATAACAAAAATATAACATAATTATTGAATACGATTTCCTCACAAAAACAATGTAATGAATATTTAGGCCTACTGTAAATCAACGTGACTTCTGCTGTTGCCTTTCAGGAACCAGTTCAGAAATGCGTAGCTTTGCCTTGAGTTCAGTGAGCGTTTTGTTCTTGTAGTTACCATCCCCATGTAGATCGAGCTCAATAATGTAATAAATTGAGATAATTGTGAGGTCAAGGGAACTCACTCTTCTGTATTAGTATTATATTTATATTGTTATCTTGAGTGATGTCCCTTGTGCATTGTACTTCCTTCCGTCCTCTCCGTGTGGTACCATCATGTAGTTAGACCCAATAAACGTTATATACAACCACATGCTTCTATCGTCAATCTATTATATCTGGCGACGAGGATGAAAATCTACTAGAAAGAGCACCTACTTACGCAAAAAAGAGGTTTGCTAGAGCTTATTGGCTAAGTATTTCTAGAATAATGGCGCTGTATGGCCAAATAAAACAATTTGATTCGAATGATGAAATCATTCAGGATTACCTAGATAGGTTAAGCTTTTACCTAGAAGCTAACAACGTGACGATAGAAGCCAAAAAGAGAGCTGTTTTGTTAACAGTCATAGGGCCTCAACAATTTAGGCTACTAAAGGACTTATGCGCACCAGCTAGTCTAACTACCAAGAGCTTTAACGAGCTGAGCAAATTGCTAACAGACCACCATGCGCCTGTACCATCAAAGTTTCTATGTCGAGCTAGATTTGACAGTAGGACTCGTCAACCAAACGAGTCAATATCAGAATATGTTGCTGCTTTACGTCATTTAAGTGAATTTTGTGAATTCGGAGACACGCTGTCTGACAGATTATGTGAAAAGTTTGTGACAGGTGTAAACAGCCCTGATATTCAAAGAAAGTTGCTGCTCGAGTCAGATCTAAAATTGGAAAAAGCAATACAACTTGCAATGTCATTCCAGCAGTCATCTGATGCAGCGAGATCTTTAGCACCTTCAGAGATCCATGCAGTAAACAGCAGGTTAGTCAATAAACATCAACCCCATCAGAGCATTCCAACTTATGCTAAACAGCCTGCTCGTTCAAATCCTAGATCTAAATCTAGTAATAATTATCAAAAATGTCATCGATGCAAAGGTCCCCATGCATCTCATCGGTGCAAGTTCAAGTCTGCAACTTGTTATAAGTGCAGTAAGCAAGGTCACATTGCCAAGGCCTGCTTTGCAAAGTCTTCGTCTGTTGCTAAATCTAGCCAGTCAAGACAGTACCGCAACCAAAGGCAGCACTATGTTAACTCTCACCAAGACTACCTAACCCAACCAATGAACCACTCTACCTGTGAAAATGCTCAAACTGATTCGCAGCCGGATTTCAACCTATTCTCTGTGAAATCAATAAGTCATGCTCCCATCAGTGTACAAGTTAATATCAACGGTAAGAGCATCAGCTTCCAACTTGACACTGGAGCATCTCTAACAGTCATCACAAAGAAGGACTTTGACGCTGTCACAGGAGGATCAGTGCCTCTACAACCATGTCACAAGTGTCTAACAACATACACTGGTGACAATGTTCCGGTAATAGGAGAGTGTATGGTTCATGTAAGTTATAATGGTCAAAGTGTTAAACTTCCTCTTCTTGTGGTTGAAGGAAATGGACCACCATTACTAGGTAGGAACTAGTTAAGTGATCTTAAGTTAAATTGGGAGAGTATTTGTTCATTGAAGAATGTAAAAGAATCTAGTCTTACTTCACTAGATAGAGTTATATCTGAAAATAAATGTGTTTTTGGTAATCCAGGATTACTAAATGATAGAACAGTGAAGTTAAGCATTAAAGACACAAATCCAAGATACTGCAAAGCTAGAGTTCCACCTTATGCAATGAGGAATAAAATTGAAAATGAGCTAAGTAGATTGGAATCTAATGGCATCATAAAGAAGGTAGATTATTCCGATTGGGCGTCGCCCATTGTGCCAGTGTTAAAGAAGGATGGTTCTATAAGAATTTGTGGAGATTATAAAACTACATTGAATAAGCAAATAGAGCTAAATAGGTACCCTATACCTAACATTGAGGAAATCTCTTTGAATTTGGCAGGAGGAGACAAATTCACTGAATTAGACTTTAGTCATGCTTACACTCAACTAGAACTGCATCCAGATTCAAAAGTCTATACGACAATAAACACACATAAAGGACTCTACCAATATGAAAGACTATGTTTTGGCATATCATCTAGCCCTGGAATTTTCCAAGCTGTCATGGACAGTATTTTTAAGGATATTCCAAATGTTTGTGTGTACTTTGACAATGTGTACATAACTGGTAAGAATGACACTGAACATCTTAAAACACTTGATAAAGTATTGAAAATTGTTGGTGAAAAAGGTTTAAAGATAAACAAAGATAAATGTCAATTCATGTTGACAGAAATTAGTTTTCTTGGTTATATATTGAGCAAACAAGGCATCAGACCTCAACCTGAGAAAACAAAAGCCATTAAAGAAGCACCCAAACCTGAAAATACCCAACAACTAAGAGCTTTTTTGGGCTTAATAAATTACTATGCAAGGTTCATGGGAAATCTGTCTGGTAAACTATCACCACTGTACAAGCTGCTACAGAAAAATGCAACTTGGCACTGGGGTAAACAACAAGAAGCTGCTTTTAATACAGCAAAAGAAGATTTGTCTTCTGACACCTTACTAACTCACTATGACCCAGGGAAAAGACTTATATTAACATGTGATGCTTCACCAGATGGTGTAGGAGCAGTCTTGTCCCACATGGATGAGAAGGGTGACAGACCCATTGCTTTTGCCAGTAGATCTTTGAACCAGGCTGAGAAAAATTATTCTCAGTTAGATAGGGAAGGCTTAGGCATCATTTTTGGTGTTAAGAAATTTCATAAGTTTCTGTTTGGTAGGAAGTTCACCATCTTTACAGATCATAAACCATTGCTAGGTTTATTTGGAGAAAACAAAACCCTACCTGAGCATGCCTCACCAAGAATACAAAGATGGGCTATCACACTAACTGCATACAATTATGAATTGAGATACAAACCTGGATCTGAGAATAGTGCAGATAGTCTTAGTAGATTACCTTTAAAAAAACCAAAGCCTGAACTATGTACCAGAAGATGTATTTGTTCTCTTCACTATCATGGATAACTCCAATATAAATGTGAATGATATTAAAAGAGAAACACAAAAAGATGAGTGCTTAATAAAAGTATATGAGCACTGTATGAATGGTTGGCCTGAAGAGTCTGTGAATGATGACTTAAGGCCATATAAAATAAGAAATTAAAACCCTTTGTGAAGATAATATAAAAGATGGAGAAGATGCAGTCCATTATCAGTCAGAGTTGCCTAAACAAAGTATTTGTAACTTAATAAATGAGTATGGTGATATGGCAATTTCAAATGTTTTAAAGAGAATACATTAGTAAGAAGGAATGTGATCATCAAACAACTTTGCTAACATCATTAGCACTTACAGAAACTAAAAGGGTAACATCAAAAGAAAAAAAAAGATTTTTTGCCATTTAATACTTTCAGATGCCAATTCAAAAATAGTTCCATTAAATCATGACAACTCAGGCATTGAAAGAGAATTTGGTGTTAATAAGTTAAGAATGTGTATCTAAGAAATTATGGGAGAAAGGAAAAATGGATACCAGGTCAAATTGTTCAATGTACAGGACCTGTGCCTTATAAAGTTAAAAATAACTTGTGCAGATAATAAGTGTGAATCTGTCAATCCCACCAAATCTGAACAGTTCACACCAACTCAGTTTGTTCCACAACCAAGTTCTGTTGATATGAGTGAACCAAGTTGTCTGGAGTCAGAAAATGTAAATTCTGGAGTTAATGATTTAAATCCTAGACCTCCTGAGATAGAGAATCCAGATGGTCAGAATATTGAGTCACCAAATCAAAGGCCACTGAGAAGGTCAAGCAGGACAATCAAAGTCCCAAATAAGTTAGACCTATGATTTTAAAGGTCAAAAGGACTTTGACATCATTGTTTTGTATTTTAATTATGTTGTAACATATTGTGCATTGTTTGTAAGGATGTAATCTACCATAGTGTTCATGTTACAATATAATTGGTGATTTTAGGATACTATCAATTGTTCTATTGAGAGATGTGTTATTGTGTTCTAAGGGTAAAGGGATGTAATAGATTGAGATAATTGTGAGGTCAAGGGAACTCACTCTTCTGTATTAGTATTATATTTATATTGTTATCTTGAGTGATGTCCCTTGTGCATTGTACTTCCTTCCGTCCTCTCCGTGTGGTACCATCATGTAGTTAGACCCAATAAACGTTATATACAACCACATGCTTCTATCGTCAATCTATTATAAATAAAGTGCCCTCTTAGTTTTGCCAGTTAGATTAGAATTGCTCAGCTTGGCATTGCAAATCATGTAGTTAGGACGCAGACGCCCGTCAAAGGTTCCGCGATATATCAATATACCAATACGTTTTATTTCGCTTTAGGGCACTTGATACTTTATAACTAGACTATATCGTTCTGTCGCATGTCATTTAAACTGTCATCGGCCGTTAGTTCTATTGTCGGCACTGACAGAATCCGATCGCAAATAATACGAGTAGCCAGTAGGGCGCGTGTGTTTAACTCCGATCGAACCCAAATTATGAACCGCTGCTCTACAAGGAACTTAGACTAGAAAGAGATCAAGCTTTCTAAATATTTTCACCACGGTACAGTAGCGTAGCGAGGAGGCGGGGGCGGGGGGACATATGTCCCCGGGCGCCGACCTTAGGGGGCGCCAAAATGGGTTGGAAAAATATATTGAAAGGCTGAGGGGTTGCAAATCGAAATCTCGAGGGGGGGGGGGGGGGGGGGTGTGCAAATCGAAAGTTTGAGGGGGCGGGAGCAAAGCGAAATCTCGAGGGGGGGGGGGTGTGCAAATCGAAAGTTTGAGGGGGGGGGGTTGCAAATCGAAATCTTGAGGGGGGGAGGGGTGCAAATCGAAAAGTTTGTCCCCGGGCGCCGGGAAGGGTCGCTACACCTCTGCCACGGTATAAAAAGCGTACAATCCCCATCTTAACCAATGTCTCTCAACGTGGGTAGGGTTTACGACCTGAAAATAAGTTTAAATTAGGCCTAAAGTCTAAAGGTTTAAAGTTTATAGCTTAATCTATGCTAAAAACAATATTAATTGTAAATCGCAGCCAACCGGACCGATATCATTGTCACTAGAGTCTAGATTAGATCTAGATCTAGATTCTATATCTAGATTTCTATATCTAGATTTCTATATCTAGATCTAGATTTAGATATAGATCTAGATTCTATATCTAGATCTAGAAATCTATATTTTTTAGTTAAAATCCCTAAAACATGGCAAAAATGCGAAAATGAAATAAAATTATTCACCGATTGCTAGACTAAACTTCCTGTCGACCGTGTTGTTTATAAAATTAGCCAGACCGGTGACACATTCTCATGATTCTGAGAATCAGAGTGTTAATTTTATTTATAGCGCACATCTACATCTAATAATAATCTAGAGATCTAGATCTACAAATAAGATCAATTAGGTATAAAATAGAGATCTAAACGACTTTAGATCTTCCACTTTCCACTCTGAAAGTTTGACATTGTTGAGTTGTGTCTCGACTCTGATCTCTCCTGACTCCTGGTTTGCTCTGTCTTACTCTTATACTCAGTAAACTCTCATTCTTAGTATTACTCATAAGGGTTTCACTCATCCCTCTACCTACTACTCACCTACCTACACTAACTCTACTCTATGCAATGACAGTCTAGACTCTGCACGCTAGTCAACTCTCTAGCTAGTCACAACTCTAGTGTACTCAGTACTCACTCACGACTCACTCAGTAGTAGTCAGTACTGCTACTCTCATGACAATTACAGGTCTCATCTTAACCGTAGCCACTTAAGTAATGTAAACTTTGTATTATAAACTAATTTAAAATATTTAATGGCACTAACGACTAATAGGCAGTAAGAGTAAGGGCCTATGTATGTAAACAATCGTAACATTAATGAACATCACTACACTTAGTAGTACTACTACTAACTACAGTAACACCGGTTAGTGTTACACTCTTACTACTACTAGACTAGTTAATAGTATTTATTGCTACTTCTTAATCATGTTACACCCCTTTTGTTGTTGACTAATGTAATCTTTAAATTAAATTAGAGTGACTGATTTGATTAGGTTTAAATATGTTTATATCAGTATTAGATTGAAAATTATATTTTTTTTATGGCGCTGTCCTTGGAAATGCATTTATTAATTAATTATGAACATTGTCACAATACGACCTAAGCCTAAGTAAATGCTTGTACTTGTAGTTATATAATTGACTATTTTCATTTCATCCAATAAAAATTAATCTTTAAAAGTCTTGTAATGCATGCATTACCTATAATCATTATCAAAAACATTAAAAATGTACTGTTTACAATTTTTTTTCATAGGCCTACTGTGATTATATTGATTATGGTTATACTTTCTATTTTTCAGGTTTGTATGGGTAGTAGAAAAAGGTCAATTTCTGTTAAAGAGATGTTATGAGAAGTTCACCACCAAGACATTGTGGTTGTTTAGGACGGTTTAGGATCCCCAAGAAAAATGAAGTAGAGCAAAGACCTGAATCACACAGGGAAACCACAAAAGACGGCTGTACCCTCTGCCATTCACTTTTCAGGAAAATTGAGCTGAGTAAAAAAACAAGAACAATGAACACCCCCCAGAATGTTTGTGGTATGGTCGACTTTGAAGAGGTGAGTACGCCTCACGGAGATACCCAGGGGAAGAAACTCATCTTGGAGGCTGGGAGAAAATCCCCATTCTGTAGCACTCCCTGCACCACTAAGATGTTCGGCAGAGCTGTGTCTCAACCGGTTGGCCCAGAGGATTCATTTGATGAGGATAATCCCACCTCTTCCAAGAGAAAGACATTCACGAACCTGAGGTATGGACTCAAAATGATATTATCTTTTTGTATGTTGGCCTACACACACAGTCGCAATCACCATGCATTTTACTTCAATGATATTTTTAAGATAAATCATAATATCATGCATTTTTGAATTCATGTAAAACATGAATAAAAATCATAGGGAAACAAATACAAAAATGTTTAAAAAGATTTACTGTTCTTGTTATTATTAATTGAGGAACCCTAGGATATATATAGAAGACTGTATTTTAATACAATGGCTGATAAATTTCAGCTTAAAGTTGTGTGAGTTAAGAAAGTAGAAGCTAAATTTTAAACTGTCAATGTGAATAATAGAATCTGGAATGTGAGAGAAATAAATATGACTTGAGATTTGACTTGCCTTAGATTGTTGTATAAATTCATGACTTGAGATTTAACTTGCCTTAGATTGTTGTATAAATTCATGACTTGAGATTTGACTTGCCTTATACCGCGTTTACATTTGCGACATGTATACTATACATTTCTAGAAAAAAAAACTTCGCTATAAGGCCTAAGTTAATAGGGGAGCCTACTCACTTATTGCGAAGTTTTTTTTTCTAACCATGTATAGTATACATGTCGCAAGTGTAAACGCAGTATTAGATTGTTGTATAAATTCTTTTTTGAAGTACCATCCCTCATTAGCAGGTAACTACATTTTTTATTTTTCCATAGGCGCCAGAAAAGGTCTATCTATGGCGTTAGCCCAGACTGCAGTTTTGGACCTAAAGCTTTCATGTCCAACATATCATCTGCGTGTTTGTAAGTAACAGTTTTCATTTGCATATTTAAGGTTGTCTACACTCATCTAATCTTACCTTTAAGAAGTTTTTCTCTACTTCTTTTATACACAGTACTTTCAAAGCAACTTTCTTGTCAGATTTTAAAGCTTTAAAAAGAAAGTAGCCTCCATAGTGCAAATAACTGATCACATTGAACCATTTTGTTGGTCTTGGTTTGTGAGCTCAACCTTCTATTTTTGTGTTTAACTCCATAACTATTTTATACACTGCTAAATTAAAGCTTATGTTAAACACCTGAACTGATTTATAAACATTTAAATGAAAATTTATGAAATCTAATTGTTTGCACTATATGGCAACTCTTATTGTTTGACTGCAGTTTTTATAATAGCCCTACAAATCTTGAACAATGTAAATATGCTTAGGTCAGCATAATATAATGTCTATAATTTCATTATTCAAATTGCCTGGAAAAAACCCATCAAATCTTTCACGACTTGTTCAAGTTGTTCAAAAGCTGTCTTCCCTTCCCTACCCCACTCTCACCTGCCAGAAATAATCCCAAAAAAGTAGGTCAGTGTTCAAGAGAGCAATGACTTAAATTTTAATTAATTATTTCTAACTGAATAAAAAAATATGGCTTGATAACTAGGGTTCTGATGTCATCTGTATGAAATGTCTTATTCTCCTGCTGAAATAATGGTTATTAAACTAGTTCTGGTCCAATGGTTCTCAAACATTTGGTTTGTTATATTAGGGTCTGCTACTATTATTTTAAGTACACTAAAACTATCATGCCAGACTAGTTTGTATTACATTTAAAAAATATTTGTTCTGGTTCACAACTAGAATTAGACACTCATAAGGCCATAGAAATCATATAAACCAAGAATGAATCGATATTTAGACAATTAGTCTATATATTATGCAGATATGTTTCGGAAGCTACACAAAAATTAGATTTTCTTCTGAAACTTAACATTGTAGAAATTACAGTTATCTAGTTGTTATTAGATATTTATCACAACTCATTTTTAGTTGCACATACCTATAACCAATTAAAAGAAATATTGATTATGCTCCAGAACGAACCATAGGTCAATGACCTTTGTCCTAAGCTGTCTGTAAGCAGGTGTAAATCTATTGAGAACCCAGACCTTAATAAAGATGACCTAAAATTTTAATTAAAGAACGAACTATAGGTCAATGATCTTTGTCCTAAGCTGTCTGTAAGCAGGTGTAAATCTATTGAGAACCCAGACCTTAATAAAGATGACTTAAATTTTAATTAAAGAATAAACTACAGCAAGATTATATACTTAATATTTATGGTGACCAATAGATTGTGTGATGCGTTGGTCAATCTATACTATATATTACGAAGGAGATAATTTTTTTTTTTGAAAATGCGAAAAGGCGAACAGGGAAGTGAAATACCAGATTATGTGACGTGGGTTTTCTCCCCTGTCAAACAACGCCACAACCTCTTGTGTTGTTACGTCCTGGTTACGTCTCAGTATCGTCTTGGTCAAATTTCCACGAAATTTTAAGTACGTGACGACTAACTTAGTGGACCGGCTTGATCAAATTACCAGGAAATGTGAGGTTTCCACCGAGTACTTAGTGGCACACGGCACACTGGTACACTAACGTCAGGATACACTTGTTAGCTGGGAGCACACAAGGACCTGCTCAAGCATACACTGGTCTTATGTTTGATTGCCGCACTAAAAATAACGACATTGATCGCAGAATTACAACTACGTGAACTCACGCACGGTGCACTCGTTCATCCCGGTGGTTGGGGATGTGAAGGGTGTATGTGAAGTGGGGGTTCTAAAACCTTAACACACACCATCATTGGGTGTACAACTATACATGCCGGGGGTGGTGTCCGGACAACTTCCTCTCCCCTGAACAACTGTCATCAATAAATACCCCACACCCCCTCTCCTCCCGTAGAGATCGATAATCTGTAGGTCTAGTTGTGTTGATCCAAGCCTTCACCGATGTATGATGGGAACCATTGCACAATATGAGCAGATGGTGCTGCGACAAATGGTTGTTGCATTAGACAGCCGAAGGTGTTGGGTATTACTGTCGTAGCTGTTGGGTATTACTGTCGTAGCTGTTGGGTATTACCGTCGTAATTCCCGTCGTAGCTGTTGGGCATTCCTGTTGTAGGTGACTCGAGCCATTAGATGTTATACCAACTTACAAGGGAGGGGGGGGGGATTTGTTGGTGGAGAGGGGTCTCTGTGTGAGTACCACGTGATGTTTTCACTATTTCAATCACCACCTGGGGGGGGGGGCAGAGCCACGGATACGAGTGTTTCCTATAACGTGATGACTGTTGTTTCATTAGAGTTTCATAGTGTGGGTGGTCCCGGCTTTGAGGCCAGTCCCGTGGTCATAACGGGTGTCTGGCTTTGTCTGAAAACACTTGAATGTTCCTGGTAAAATCTAGTCACCATCACAACACCACAACACCTACACCCTCGTAACACCAGTACACCTACACCATTTAATTACCTCACAACACCACAACACCTACACCCTCGTAACACCACAACACCTACACCCTTTAATTACCTCACAACACAACACCAAAACACCTACACCCTCGTTACACCACAACACCTAGACCCTCGAAACACTACTACACCTACACCCCTTAACAACCTCACACCACTCCGCAACGCCCTCATAACACCACTACATCTACACGCCACAACAACCGTTGTGAAAATAATAGGGAAAAAAATCCAATACAATTTTATAGCCACAGGTGCAAAAATATGTTTACATCTAAATGCCCAATACCTGTCAACAATCCGACCCGGATTTCTTGCGCTCCATTTCCTGCTTTGTATCCGGATAGTCAGGACACACGGGCCGTTATTGTGTCGTGACATGGGACCAGCTATCGTGCGATTTGGTTTATTGATAGGTGGGGTAGGCACGCAGGCCTGAGTTGTTTTTAATCACTTATTGACAGATCCTGGAGAAAGTACGCTGGGCTCGGCAATGATTTGTTGGTTAGATCTGCTGTAGTGTAGGTAACCCCTACTGTTGCTGTTCCGGGTGTAGACTCGTTCATTAGTTATTTGTAAAGTGTAGAGCTAATTATGTCAGTCTAGCTCCTAGTTCCATTCATTAGTTATTATTAGGCACCAAAACACATGCGAGAAGTGTAGACCTAACTAAGGCCGTGTACTTGTAAGTTTCATTCATAGTTTATTGGACGGCATTAAACATATGATTCGTATTGAGAAAGAGTCCAACAAATCTCCCCCCCCCCTAAACCTGTTAGTCAGGTGTAGCCCAGAAAATGCACTTAAATGTTTATACAGTTGCTTTGTAAACAAATATGACCTGGTTGTCCTACCCGTTTTTTTTTACTTCTTTATTAAACCGATTTTTCCAAACTAATACTCTATCGTATATTATTTTCCATAATCGATTCAAAGATTTTTTTGCACTTTTTGGTTTGTTGGTATACATCTTCCATTTGTTGATCCACATCTTCCATTTGTTGATCCACATCTACCATTTGTTGATCCACATCTACCATTTGTTGATCCACATCTTCCATTTGTTGATCCACATCTTCCATTTGTTGATGTACATATTCCGCTTAATTAACCTACATAATTTCAGGTTAACTAGAGCGTGCATATTTCGAGGTTATTGAAAAGGATACCAAAGTGTTTTCGATAAAAAAAATATTTTGCACGGGTTATATGTCAATACACACTGGGTGCATAGTTGGAATGTTTGCATACAGTTGGATGGTGGATGGAGCGAGGTGTCAAGGGTTTGTACCGTCTTGACAGAAAGGACAAGTGCATTGAGTTCAATATGTACAAAAAGGTGTTTGCTAAAACACCTTTTGTTGGAAGACGCCATGGAAGATGTTTTGGTAGAACACACTAGTTGAACATGATTATTTTACGAGATAACTAGAGTTACCATCATGCTAATGTTCCACCTAGATTTTCTAGATCTATATCCCTTCAAATAAAAGATGAAATGTTTTTTTTAAAAATCCACAAACTATTTATTGCCATTGAAGTATAACATTTGAAATCATAAGCTGAAATCTCCTATAATCTTTCCAACTAAGTCTTTTGTGTGAGGGGTGATATTGTGGGGGTAAAAAAAATAATTAAACCTTTTAATTATATTTTTTCGGTAATTGAACCGAAGAAAGTCAGTTTCAACGTCTTCCTGACACCTCACACCCACAAGGCTGGTATGTGTTGTAGCAGGTATTTTGTTGTTTAATTCAACAAGTGGACGTCCACGTGGACAGGAACCCCCCACCCCTCTCCAGTCCGGACACCCCCCATCCCCAGTGGCGTAGCCAGAATCGTCTCAAGGGGGGAGGGGGAGGTTCCAATTTTTACCCGGGGACAAACTTTCGATTTGCACCCCCCCCCCCCCCCCTCAGACTTTTGATTTGCACCACACCCCTCAAACTTTCGATTTGCACCCCCTCATACTTTATATATATACCAAGGGGTCTATGGAGGGGGTTATGACCCCCCTACCCCCCCTGCCTACGCCACTGCCCCCCCCCCCCCCCAGTAGACCTCATGAGTGTGTGACCTATAACTAGTCGCCTTTGCACCACCCATATCCCAATGTCAGCATGTTTTTTTCCCTCCGTTAGAAATCGTGATGTCATAAAAAGGCAATACTCCTGTCATCAAATACAAAATACTTTGTCTCAATCCATTTTTCGATCACATGACCCACAGACGATCACATGACCTGCAGACAAACACATGATCACGTGACCGCCAGCCTTTAGCCTAAGGACAAAAGAGAAAATAATCCAATCATAACTCAGCGTCACAAACCATCAGGCGCCGAAGCCTCGTTCTGACAAATGGTCCGTTACGTAATGTTTTTTTTTAATGAGCGTACATCTGTCTTTATTAGTTAATTTATGATCGGGACGATCTGAGAGATGGTGATGATTGCTGCGTCTCACAGCTACACATGCATACATGA